AAAAAAAAAAAAAAAAACCAAAAAAAAAAAAAAAAAAAAAAAAAAAAAAATACAGACTGATGACAGTTTGAAAAAGCAACGTTCAGAAGTTTTATTTACGAAACACTACAGAGATATAAATAAAAGTGGTTACAAATGGTCTTCAGTACCTTGCTTGGCGATAGCAAAATGCTGTCGAAATGTCTAATATAAAAAAAAAACCCAGAAAAATCTACACAATCCAATTAGAGGTATCACATATACACTATTTACATTGCTTCAGAAGAAAAAACACCACAAGTCCCACTTTACAGAGTTTGTTTCATAATGTCCAACAGAAGCCTTTGTCCTGAATTGCTAAAGAGAACAAAAATGATGAAGTCTTCATTATTCTGAAAAATTAGTGGAATTCATTAGACTACAAAGAAACAAACTGAGATCAGTGAAGCTTGGAAGAAACACGAATCTTCACCGTCTTATGACAAATCTCAACATGTACAGATTTTTCTGCAGCAAAATAGTTTTGCATCATCTTCAGAGTTCACACACAGTGCAGGTCAGTGTTGCAGGCATCCACACATCTTACGGAAAGACGCTTCAAAAGAAAGCCATGCAGTTCCGTCAAATTACAAAATCTTGGTCAAATGTCAAGAGAAAAAAATATAAATCCTAAATAAATAAAAACAAAAAAAGTTTACATGTAATAGAAAAAGCACTAAAACACTAGTAGGCACCATTTTGATAAATGATTTCGAAGCATTAAATAAGTTCACATAAGCTAAAAATTGACCAAAATAAAGGTCACTGGTTTTGTTTAAAAGAGGCATGATTTTAGTGGTTTCTGATTTTAATCTTAGTAGAGAGGAGTTAATATAATTTTTTTAATGTTCTCATGGTTAATGCTAAAATGGAAACTGATCTGGATCTAAAATTTAGTGGAGAAAAGCACACACACACGCACACACACTGTGTGACATCACCTCTGTTCCTAAATGAGTGCTCATAAAATGAGCAATAATAGGAATAAATAAATGACTGGTCACAGCTGGAAGGCTAGAGGCATATTTTCAATTTTTAAACACTGGGCATCAATGTACACATTTTTATGGCTATTTGAGTGCAGTAACTTTTTGTCTTTATTTAACCCAGAAAGTCTGTTGAAATGTGAACTTTTTTTTATCCCAGATTCCCCTCTACATTTAGCCTGAGTAAAGAAACTCAGACTAAGTTACCCCAACTCTAACCACCTTTCAACCAATTTCAGACATTAAGTGTCTTTCTGTGGGCACTGTTTCATCTCCCACTATTCTGAAACCCAAGAGACGGAAAGATATATAGTTGTTTTATGTCTACTCAATAAAAATTTACTCCCAGGGGCAGACTTAAAAAAAATAAAATAAAATCAAAAATTTTCTAATTTGACTCAGTTTCCAGTTGAAATTATAAATGTCTTGAGAAGTCTGTCAGAAATTGTTCCACAATCCTGAACTACTTTTCTTTTTCTCTCCATTTGTACACGTGGAGAGTACATTTGTACACGACTGTGCCAACAATCCTCACCTGCACTGTGATTTGACTGTCAAAAGAACTTTGTTTTGTTTTGCTGAGGTTGGGCAACTCCTCTTTAAGGCGTGGAACGGATTCATGTTCCCAAGACACTGAGCACCATCAGAGCCAGAAAAAAAGACAAAAATGCCTAATAAAGGTCTCTGTTCACAAGGACAGATCCCCCCCCTATGTTGCTACAACTAAGTGAACTTTAAAATTAAGAACTGCTCTGTGTTTTTAAATGGAGACAGTAACAAAAATAAGCAACCAAAAGTTAGGAATTTGAAATGCGTCTCTTCATTCTCACTGCAGTTCACTGGCACTCAAGAGTTATGTTTAAAAAAAAAAACAAAAAAAAAAAAAACAGGACAACCGGTCCAGCTCTCTCAGGTTATCCAGTTCTGACTTGGCTCGGTTTCAACACCGTTTCCCTCTTCCCCCCCATCCACAGAATTAGTGCAGTAGTTAAGAGGCGTCACAGAGAGCGAATGAGTGAGCTACGTGTCACAAAGGCACAAGTCCTAGGTGCCATCGTCCGTCATGCTGGTGCAGTCTGGAGAGGCTGCCGTTGGTGTGGCGGGCTCCTCTGAGCTCTGGACCGGTTCCTTGGGCCAGTACAGTTGACTCAGATTCTGATTGAGTTCGTCCAGTTCAGCCGGCAGAGGGATTCCCAGTTCCAGGTAAAGCGAGAGGGCGTCAAACCAGTCTTCCAGCTTCTGGAAGGATGGACTATGGGAGGATGAGGAGGAGAAAAGAAAAGATCAGTGAGGAGTTTTAGGTTAGAACCAGCCCGACGAGATTAAGAGAAAACACGAGGAAGCAATTTGGCAGCAGGGACAAGTCCGTGTGCAAGCAGGTCCATACGGCATGTGAAACTGTTTGTTTTTCTCTCTCTCTCCTCCGCTGCGGCCTCAAGGTGCAACGACACAAGACAAAACCCAGCAACAAAACACAAACCGGTTTTGTGAAATGCTTGAATTTTTTCTTTTTTTTTTTGTCTTGATATTTTTTTGTTACGCTAGAGCAAAGTCCTATTATATTACATTTTTTCAATACTGCAGCACATTTTTTAGTTCTGTTTTTAGCTTCAAAGGATGCTTTTAAATTCCTGAAGTCCCTATAAAACGCTCTTTGACGCAGGCTTCAAGGTTCATTAAGTAGACCTGACTTTAGCGTCAGGGGAGAAGAGGAAACTCCATGGCTCATTTTTGATGCTCCAGAATAATTTGCATTTACTGTTCCTTAAAATTTGGAAGTCGTTTCTTTTTGTCGTTTTGCTCTTAACTTTTACTAGAAGCGTGAAAACGGGTTTGATACGTTACATACTGCCTCACACAATGATTACACATTTTGACTTACTACTGTTATTTGAAGTTACAGAAAGCAGCATTTTAAACAAGTGTCTCTCTCTAAAACTAACCTATAAAGTCAAATCCTCTAAACAGTAAAAACTAATTTAAAAAAAACAAAAAAAAACTACAAAGAATCCATCGAAACTTTAGGTAGTTGATGTCTATGAAAACATTTTTTGCAACAGCTGTCAGCTACGTAGACCTGCCTGGTTGTTATGCTGTGGTGTGCATCTGTGGTGTTGCATTTTAATAATCTGGACCAACTGAGTTATCCAAGGCCGATCGGTTGTTATACTACAGTATTTTGGAACAAAGTTTGATATGTTTTGTGCCGTTTTCTTGAAAAGTAAGCTTAAGAGGAAGCTCTCACCGGTTGTCTGGTGTGAGGTCGCAGCAGGCCACAGCCAGGGGAAAGAAAGCTGGAGGACAGTCTTCAGGGAGAAACTTCTCCACAAACTTGCCAACATTCAGGCCAAAGTCCAGCGTCCTGGGGAGGCACTCGGGGTCTGCGTACACTTTTCCGATAATCTGAATCGAATTGCAAATGAAATCTTTTCATGGCAGCCGAGAAACGTCGAATGTCTTTGCCAAGTAGGTATTTAACAAACTGGAGAAGGAAATGTGAAATAACAGCAGCTTACCTCGCAAAGAACGATCCCAAAAGAGAAAATATCCACCTTTTCGTCATAGCGCTTACCTAAAATGACATCGAATAAAGAATAAAGTACATGCACTCTTTGATCCCACGACTGTCTTCTTCTCTCATAATTAAAATATTATTTAATTATTTTTTTTAGTTTTCCTTTGGGAATAAGTCACTAACCATTTAGCATTTCTGGAGCCATCCAGTAAGGGTTTCCAACAACGGTATACCGCTTCTTTCGGTCAAGGCGCCTCAACACCCTCTTCTTGGTTGAAGGTTTCTCCGGAGGAGGTTTGACTTTCTCCTCCACGATGAGTCGGGACAGACCGAAATCAGCAACCACTACAGTGTTGTCCTGTTGAAAGAGGAAACAAAATGTTCACTGGGTTTTTACTGGAAAGACTGATTGAAAAACAAAAAGCTGATCAGTGAATGTATCGACCAGAACGCTAAAAAAAAAATACAAGTAAATAAATAAAAAAAATAAAAAATCTGCAACTTTCAAGGAATGACAAACGGGATTGCACATAGCTAATTTCAAAGTAAAATATCTGGGGCGTTTTTAGAATTACTACATGATTGTAGTTTTCTTCTTCACTGTATTTTAACAATCAATGATGTATTGTTTTTCTATTTATACCGCTTTCTTCATAAAACTGCAACAAATGTCAACAAAGTTAAAGAGGACGGCCAGACGTCACCTACCAGTTTAACCAGGCAGTTGTGAGAGTTGAGGTCTCTGTGGATGATGCTCATTGAATGAAGGTAAGCCTAAGAGAAAAAAGGGAAACTGATTTCTTAGGAATCACATAATTTACACTGCCACATTCACAATTTAATAGAATTAGTAATCAAATCACTGATGTTTAATGGTCAATTTCACCCCAAGGCAAAACAAAGAAAACAACTCACCATGCCAGAGGCGATGCTCTTTGCAAAACTGACTCTTTGTTGCCAAGGAAACGTGTCCTGTGAGTCCAGAGTGAAAACAAACAAACAAACAACAAAAAAAGGACAAAAACAAATAAACTGTTAGAGGCATCATACATGAAGTAAATACAGAGCTTGCACTAATTTTTAAGCATACTTTGTCAAATGCATCTCAATGAAAAGTGTTCCTATATGCTTTTATGACAGAAATCTAATCTGTTGTAGACACAAATTTCCAGAATTATCAAACTTGTTTTAAAGTATAAATAGGACAGGTCACCACACATTTTTGGCTAATAATTTTAAGGTTGTCAGACTTTAAAAATGCAGCCTAGAAGAAAAGACAGACAAGAACGAGGGGTAGGCGGGTGAAAGAGTGAATGCATGGATGGATGGATTAAACTTTTAGGCAGCGGACTTGACAAATACTTTTCCACATTCTTTTTTATTTTCTATCCTTATCCAGACCTTGGAAAGACGTAAACCGAATTCTGCAGTTTTCCAGACTTTTCTGAACTTTGTTATCAGGAGCTCAAAAACAAACCATGCTCCTAATTCAAGCAAGAAAAAAAAAACAAAAACAAAACAACATAAACAACACATGACATGACAGAGGAGGGCAGCAGGGTGAGATAATTTTCCCCTCGAAAACCTTCTCATATCTAAGCCTCCCGATTTCCAAACCTGCCAATTAATGAGCCCAGATCTGTGTAGGAGGGTGAAGTTCACTTCAGGTCACCTGCACTCTGAGCTCCTGTACCAAGCATGAAGGTTGTATAAAAACAATTTTAACTCACCATGTCTCTGATGAAGTCCTTCAAAGTTCCTCCTTCGATGAACTCCGTGATCAGATTCAGCCTCTTGTCTTTGTACAGCACACCGATGAACTTCAGTACGTGTGGATGGTCGAGGCTCCTCATTACCTTGACCTGAAATTCAGACATGTGGTAGACGAGAAAAAAAAAACAAAACAAGTTCCTGATTAATATAAGCAAGTTACCTTTAATCAGTTCTGAGCAGAGGAAAGCTTAGCACGTGTGAAGAAAGGATTAAATGCGGGTCAAACTAATGAGTTGCCACCAGAGCAATGTGACAACCTGAAAATAATGAACAAACAGGCGATTGTTGGAGCAAGCGGCGTGGCTTTTAGTTGTGAATCTTAAAACAGACGTGTGTGTGTGTGTGTGAGAGAGAAATCACTGGCCTCCTGCTGCTCATTACCCACCTCCTGCAGAAAAGTTTTCTGCGTCTCCTCATCGCAACGGATCAGCTCCTTCATCACCATCACCTCCCCAGTGGCTTTGTGAGTCACCTGAGACGAAAGCAGGCATTATTTGAAGTTTAAAGAGCGCAAGAGATGAAATGCTGAATGGAAAAAAGAGACGGGAGCTGCAGGCTGACCTTGATGGCCTGTCCAAAAAAGCCCTTCCCTAGGACTTCTCCGTGGATGAGGTCACAGGGTCGGAAAATGCGATGAGAGCAGCTGCTGGAGGATCTCAGGGATTCAGAGCGACCGATGTCTCTCGCGATTATTGGCGCCTCTTTCAGGGAGTTCGGGGACTTGCAGATGCTGTTACTGCGCCTGAAAAAAAAAAAAGACAGATAAAGACAGTCAAATGGCATGTAGGCTCAGACCAAAAACAAGGAAGATGTAAGCATATTGGACTCTCTCTGCGTACTTCAAAGACCTCCTTTTCAGCATGCCATCGTCAACTTCGTCTGTCCTCTCCAGGACCGTGTCGGACGGCGAGGACAGACGCATGCGGGACGTGGCCGGGACGCCCAGCTGGTCCCTAGGCGAGCCCAGTCGGAGCTGATCCATACGCTGCCTCACCGGGTCGTACTCTATCAGTAGCTGCAGCGTGTGACTGGTGTGGTGGACCAGATCGTACACCTTAACGAGAAAAGGACATGTAAGATCGGGACAGCTTTTCCTCAAAGCAACGTGAACCAAAACTCCAGGATTTTTTTTGTTGTTTTTAATGCCGTTTTCATTTTTTTTTTCTTTTTATGCAACACGCGAGCAATCACCATTACTAAAAGTGAACATGTGTCATGTCACCCCACAGCGTTATATAAGATTCAAGTCTGACATGACAAAAACAGCCCACAAGTAGCAGCAGGGATGCACAAAATATTACAAATACATTGTCGTTCTCAGTCTAAGCAACATAAATGACACAAAAGATCGTTTGGAATGCAATCATTGGTGGAAAATGTACTCAAAGGAACATGAGGTCACACTCTGCATGCCAGTAATATTTCGAGCCGGTTAGTCGGAGTTGAACTGCAGTGGAGTAGAGAGTTGGAAGCACAGGTGATGTGGACTCATCATGCTTTCATCACGTCGTCACTGATGTCGCGTGACCCTCTAGTATTGTGGAGTAAAGGCCCCACAGAAACTAAGCAAAAGTTACTAGGAGCTCAAATAAAAAGGAAAATATAAACCGAACAAATTTACTCAAATTAAAATTAGGATGTTTCTAAGCTTTCCAGAAAACAATTAAAACAGAAGGTTTTAATTGATATGCATTTTAATAAAGTGGAAAATAAAAGACGTGTCAGATATTAGCGTCAGAATTTGATTCCCTTCAGTTTATTGTGCCACAGCAAAACTACAAAGTGCAACCTGTGGAAAAAATCTCCATATTGATGAGTGGTAAAAAAAAAAAAAAAGAAAAACAGGCTAGATCAGCAATATCCAAAACAAAACAAGAGCATATCTGAAGGGGGAGGTTTCGAGGATGAGCCTTTAAGTCATTTAAAAGTCTTCCTCTCCCAACTCAAGAATGTTGGAAGAATGTGAGAAATGCAAAAATCCACGTCAAGATGAGAACATGGCTTTGAAACATGCACTTGAGGCATGAAGCTAATGAGGAAACTTTGATTTGAAACATTTCGGTTTCTGCAACACCGTAGCAGGACTGGTGTTATTTAAAATAAAATAAAAGCTCACCTCTTTCTCCATCAGCGTCCCAACAGGCAGTCCATTGATCTCCAGGATCCTGTCTCCAACGTGGATAGCACTTCGCACCTCTGGACTGATAAGCATCCCTCTGACCCTGAAGCAAGAACACGCGAGCGACTTAAAATCAACATCAAGCTTCCCACCACTACCTCATTTGCCGTGACACGCTTCCACACACACACACACACACAGCAGCGGTTCACCAAACCTATAATCATGTCTCGCATAAAGGCATTACTCACGCAACAGCGACACAGGCGCACAGATCCGCCGCCAGCAGTTTCCCACTTACTCTTTGACTTGAACGCTGGCCGCGCCGTTCATGTCCCTCAGCACGGACACAGAGAATCCCCTCTTCCCGTTAGCCGCCGACGGCATCGAGATGAGCGTCACCGTGTGCGGCAGGGAGTACAATATCGAGTCGTGTGAGCGTTTCTCCAACATGGGGGTGAGGATTACCTGCTTGTAGCACTTTCCACTGCAAAAGCAGGAAAAGAAAATGGTTCCAATAATGCTCGAAATAATTAGGAGTATTAGCAAAAAGTGTGTAAAAAAAAAAAAAAAATCTAATTTCGGCGTGAGAAACATGACTGATGATTCATGCTAAATGAAGCATAATGCATGCAACCTGTAATGCAGGATTATTAAAGAAGTCTTTAACTTAACTGACAAAATATGTCGATATTTAATCAAATATGTATTGAAAAAACGATGCCAATGAGAATTAACAAATATATTACAGTATTAGGCATATTACATTTAATGTTATTTTATTATTATTATATATATATTGTTATATGTTATCAACTTTATCATGGCAGCGTCATGATTTTTTGCTTTTTTTTTTGTTTCAGCTCAACCCATCTAGGTCAAAGCGCAATGACACTAAAGGTCTGCATCTCCAGTTGTTGAGTGCCACTGACCTTTGAATGCATCCCTACAAACCACAATCAAATCAGTGTTTAATGGCCAAGCCTTTCTATGGAATAAACGAGTCACATATTTAAATACAACTGAACAACCTTTTTCAAATGGTGTTTAAATTATGACATGGAATATTAACTTCCAAATGATGCGTTCTTTAACTGGACTGTAGTAAATCCACTGTAGAGGAAGGAGACATATTGCAAAAGATGATGTAGCAATCTTATGTTTTTAATCACCAGCTTTCACTTTCACAGTCATTAGCCTAGATTTCGACTCTGCTTTCAACCCCTTAAAATCTCCCAGACCCACGTAAAACAGACTTACCAATAGAGTTTGGACCTCTCGACCAAGGCGTACGCGTCCCGGTCCTCGATGATCACCTTGCAGCTCAGACACACGAAACACTCGGGGTGGTACTTGTGTTCTCCAGCCACCTGCAACCAGAAGCAAACCAGCTGATGCCCCATGCAGGACAGAAGAGAAAACGATCCGTCGAGATCCTCTGCCGTGTGATTAATAAGTGTGCGACTCTGTGAACCCTCCCTCAGATTGAGCTGTGACACAGCGGCAACACCTGCTTCACTCTCAGCCTGTCTGGAATTTGCTCCAACGTCATCCAGGCAGGTCTGAGCTGTTTGTTTCACTGCTGCTTTCATGTCTCTCTCTCTTTCTCTCGCTCTGACACTTGCTGCACATGACTTACCAATTTCCCTTTCAGTAGTTTATGTCATGCTCTCTTAACATCTGTCTTCCCTCTTTCTCTCCCATGCAAGATGAGATAATGTTCCGGCGCATGAGCAAGCAGTGGGCTTAGTAAATACAGAGCCTTGTAAAACTATTTGCTCCATTTGAATCGCAAAGATATGAGAAAATCCTGCAATGGAGATATTTTTAGTAAATACTGTGATGCAGAAATTAGCTGCAATAAATTCAGATTTTTCTTAGTCTCTTTCTCCTCTGTTCTTCCAATGCTCCCAGTGACCTTTGACCTCTTCCCACTTCTGTGATTTGGGCATTTACTGCAGCTGAATAGAATAGTGTGAGCTAGTAACACATAGAAAACCATTATTGCACTAGAAACATTAATTTTATGTTCATGTTGTGCAATAACGATATATTGTTAATCCCTACATGTTACAACAAAATGAAAAAAAAAAAAAGATTTTATAGGGATTTTATGTAAAAGGACAAGAGGAGCACAGAAAAAAGCACATTAATGTGAAGTTAAAAACATTGTGGTTTTTAATATTTTTTGGAAATAAAACTACATAAAATGTGTAGTTTTATGTAGTTTACTTGTTTACTTGTATTCAGCCCCTCTGATTCAATACTTTTTAGAAGCAGCTTTCAAGTGACCTCTAAAGGAAATTGGTTGTCTTCCAATTTCTAAAGGAGAATTTTCGTTGTTGGACGAAAAGAAGCGACATTTTTTAGATTGAACACTACAGGTTCTTTATTGTGGAAAAAAATAGGAAAACTGCATCCGTTTTCTCCTGCTTTACAATTCTGTTTTGGATTTAGTTATCCGGATTTATTATATAAAAATCTAAATAAAATATAGGGAAGTTGGTGGTTGTGAAGTGAATAAATGTGCAAAAGATTAAGTGATATTAAAACATTTGCAACAATTACTAATTTCAGATTAATCTATGCATCATGAAGTCATAGATACAATCGACATATTTGCAGACAAAATAAGTTTTCCACACAGTGTAATGAATATTAAAGCTTTTTCAGAACATTCCTAAGTTTTCCCATCTTCATGTGTGCTGCTTTGTGCTGGATGGGCATGCTCAAAAACAAAAATCTAAATCATTCCTTTTTTGCTCGACTATTCACATCTACCTGAAACTTGAGCACAGACAAGTTTGTGGTATTTTTCCAACATGTTCTGTAGTCGTGAGTCATTTCGTCTGTGCTGGAAAAGGATTCCCAGCTGCCTGAAGGTGATGTCGACAAAAACGATTGTGACATCTCCTGAGCTCGTCTGTAACTCCTCACCTTTGAGCACAAAAACAAAACCACCCCCCCTCGGTTACGCCCTGCCCCGGGCCTAAACAGTGAGACGCAAGACAACAGACGAATGTAGCAACAGAGCAGAACTTCATAAACTGATCCCGAAAACTGCTTAAGAAGGGAAAAAAAAAATAAAAAATCCAATTTCATCAATAAACAAACAAACTAGAACAAGAGCAGTTGTGTTCTGGGCTGGGATGCCGAACATGCAGCAGCAGCAGAAGCAGCTTTGTACGAGCCTCCTCTGCTCCTGGACCACAATGCTTTTCTGTCTGGCCGATCGGCCGCGGTGCCAGTTCAGTCCTGCCAAAAAACGCTCGGTGAAGCTGATGAAGCCGTACGCCAACGGCACAATGTAAAAAAAAAAAAAAAAAAAAAAAAGAAAAAACACTCTGCCTGTTGCTTGGTGGCAGAAAGAAAACGTCAGTCTGACCGCATGTTAGCTGGGTGACCTTGTTTGTGTCCAGCAGCAGAAGCTTCCAGCTGAAGGACGTTACTGCTTACTTATTTATTGACTCTTGTCTGGTTTGAAGCGAGCACCGTTTACTCTGTCAAATTCTGATATTGGATCTCTAAAAAGCCATCTATGCACGTCATCATAACTGTGGGTAATATTAACAGAGCTTCTCGCCACACTGGACTCCAACATGCTCCAAAACCGCCGCATGTTCTGGTGCTTTCCCACTCGATTCTGCATGTGGGGAAGTGAACCGTGGAGAACTTCTGTACAGAGAAGGAGCAGAGAGGGGCCTCCAGGGGGGGAAAACTAATTCACAAGTCTATGCAGAGCCCCCTTCTGCACGATTCAGCAGCGGGCCAAAAACAAGTATCGTTCACAGCTGAAAAACAAAAGCTTCTCACTAATAAGGTCTACCAGAAAAATAAAACTGGAGCGCGACACAGGCTGTGTGAAATTTGTTTTCATAGATGTCCATAGATTGAGGGCAAAACAAATTGGCTGCTTGTGTTTTATTATGCACACACTCAGCGTTGCAGTTAATTTCTGATCCAAATTAGATCAACACTACTTTAAAACCTTTCAAGTGCTTATCGTTTAAATTACAGTTTGTAAATCTTTGATGCCTTTTTTTTTCTGTTTGCAAAAGTTAGAGAGTTTAACTACACACAGGTCCAACCTAAAGCTCTCTTAAAAGATTTTTATTTTTTTTAAAAAGCATCAAATTGAGCCTTAAAAAGAATAATCAGCATTTATTGATGGTTTCACTTGCCATGTAAATCTAAAACTATTTCCCTAAAAAAAATCTATTTTATTTTTAACACTGAGTGTATCTTTTCTTATTAAATATTTATTTATTTGCCAATATAGAAAAGAACATTACTAAAATGAATTAATCTGTTTTTGCAGTAATCTCACTGCGCCAACACACTGAAAATGGGTCGTTATCGAGTCTTATCAAGCCTCTCAGCAGGTTAATGATCCAAAACATTTGATTAGATCAACATAGAAACTCAACAGAGACAAAAGCATGTCCGCTTCAATCCCAAAACACAAATACAATAGAAACCTGATGAGTGAGCTGAAGAAACAGAGTGAGGTTTGAACTACTCTATATAGTCTAGAGTAGTTCAAATGCCATCTGTAATCATTTTCCTTTTACCATCTGTTATTAGTATTTACACCAGAACGATATTTAGGCTATTTTTTAACCAGCATGAAAAAAAGAGAAAAGCTAAAACTGAATCAAGAGCAGAGTTTGGCTCGAGTCTCCACATCTCTCAGTCCTTCCTGCCCTGGAGTGCTCCCAAACTGCTTCAGATTTACATTTACCAACATACTCACTCGAATAATTAGACCACATTCACAAAAAATAAAGAGCTGGCCTCTCGTCAGCAGTTCAAGCAAAAGGGGGGGAAAAAATCCCACAAATAAGAAAAGTGGACTGACATCTGTGAGATTCCTGCATAAAATAACATAATTAAATCAGAACTATTGGCTTTAGATTTAAATTTCAGATTAGGTCACCATGCCAAGAAACCAATAAAAACTCCTGGGTTTGTAAGACATTGGTAGTTATACAAAAATATATACTTTTAGTCCCTTTTAGGAGGTTAAATAATAAAAAAAAAAAACCCTCCAGCACTTACACCTCGATTCTGTTGTGACTGTTAGATGCTCTCATTGTTAAATTCATAAAGAGCTTTTCAACTCCCCCCCCCAAAAAATAAAAATAAAACTGCTTACAAACTTCAAGATGAATAGACAGTTTCTGCAAAAACACCGTCTCAAGACAGTTTGTGATAACAGGCTGGCATCTCTTGTAAAGAGATACCAGTAAAAAAATGTAAAAATAATAATAACGGACTTACCATGGCAGGTCCTGTCATGAGCAGCGAACAGCCGTGACAGAGCTCCCCAAACTTCTCCCAGTAGTGTTTCTGACAGTACAGCTTGCCATCCTTCTCATAGTACCAGTTAGTGAGGTTGTCAGAGCAGACAGAGCATCTGGAAAGACAAAGACAGTCAGACAGCTGCAGAAATCAAAGCAGGACAAGAGATGCAGGATCTTCTACACCGTACAACTGTACAGTCTGTTTTTTTTTCCCCCTCTGGGAAGCTAAAAGCAAAAAAAATCTTTAAAAATGTATCTGTCTTTCGTTAGATTGGCAATCCACTGCGATCAAACATGTCTAGAACAGGGTTTCTACACATGTTCACAATGAAAGTCTATGTTTTAAACCAGCAGCGCGCTAATTGACTTTTAGCAAATTTCACAAGTATAAAAACAAAAGTTTACAAAAACTTCAATGTAGAGGTTGCTATTTAAATCAGGGTTTAAATAGAAAACCCAAGATTGTGGATGGATGATGGGATACTTATTCAACCCGAACCACTAAAATACTTGGTTTCAGATCGCCAAGGATCCCATCACAAATTATCCACAAGTCATTCTTGTGGATAAGTTCAAATCTAGCCTCAAGTCTTTGTTTTTGGGACCAAAGTCCCTCTTTTTCTTGATATATGCAAAACACAGCCTTTTTTTTATCAATAAAAACACTTTTAATTAATCACACACTCTCACAGAAATGTTTCAAATTTTAACAGGGATCCTCAAATTTGATTGGCTTTCATTGATTGAGCTTATAATTAGAGCAAAGAGACCCTGTCACAGAAGAACCATTTACAGAATGGTTGCACTTTAAATAATTGCAAAACAGATATAATAGCACTTTTTGCAGCCTGTTGCTCAAGTGTTGTTCATAATGTACAGGACAGAACGGAGCTGGTACATATACACTCAGACTGTTCCCGAGAATAAGAACATGCATCTACGCCTTTTTGCTCGAAAAGGCTTAGATACATTTTGTCTCTGGGATGTGTAGGAACTTGCATGGCTGCTGTTATTTTAGCTTTGCGGAGTCGTTCCACCCATGAAGCTGATTAAAATTAATCCTTTGTCCACTAAAGGTGTAGAATGATTCTAGAACCTTGAAAAGATTAAACTTTTCATAAAATAAGAAGCGAGACAGAAAACCCCAAAAGCACTAGGTAGGCAAAAAAAAAAACATTTATCCACAAGGACAAAGTCTGCAGATCACCCTGCTGTTTATTGTTTTTTTTTTTGCTTACAGCTGTACATCGCTGTTCTTTTCCTTATCTTGGTCAATGTAAACACTGAAAAACCATCTGTTAACCTTTAGGCCAAGACATGCAAAGTAAACCATTAAAATACTTCTGGCACAAGTTTGGACTATATTCTCTTGGGTAAGATCCTCTTTTGTCAAATCCCTTCGCAATTAAGGAGAAACATTTCCCAACCCAATAAGATCAACACATACCGATCCAAATGTTTACTTGGATTTCTGCTGACTGCTTCAGCTGCTGATTAGTCTGTCACCTGAGGTGAAGCTTGGCACAGTAAAAGGAACTTTAATGACAACAACCTAGTGACAAAATGTTCAGAGGAAGGAATGCAGAAGATGCTCCAAACTAGGAAGTGTTTACAGTCTAAAAGCATTTCCTCAATCAAGCAGCACCGATTATGTAAATCATGGAGGAAACTGCCTCGCTGGAGTTTTGCGTTATTGAAAAGTCTGCTGTGAGGTTTCCATTGTTGTTGCCTTCATTTAAGTTTTGCTTTTATTCTTCAACCTTGACCCTCCCACTGTGGTTTCTATGAAATCCTGCCACATTATGCTGAAAGAAGTCTAAGATTTAGGTCACAGCTTGCAGGCAAACAAATAGCATCGTATGCCATAAACTCCCAATGGTGAAATGAAACAAAAAGACCAAAAAGAGCAACTAGTATTTAGTACACGTCAAGGCCTTCGGGACGGTTTGCAAATATAAACTGTAGTGACCTTCTGATTGACAACTTTCTTTAATTTAGGTGGGCATATAGTCAATGTGCAGAATAATTAAAAATTTTCTTAAGAGTGAAAGGAATCCTAATTGATCCCTCATACAAGTCAGCATAGGTTATCAGCATTTTCACATTGTTTTTTGAGTTTTCAGCAGCCTACATGTGACAGCCGCACATCACGTTGCTTTCTGTACTGTAGGTATGGTTGATTCCAGATTATTGACTTTGGCACCACATCCAGATATTTCAGAGTTATCTGGCTTTACTTTAGAAGGAGCTGTCCTGCAGACGGAGGAACACATGGTTTTGTTTCGACTGCAGAGAGAAATGCAGGGAACTGGGAAAACAAAAAAACATTGGCTCTCTGGCAGACAGAACAGCAAAGCGTCAACATGCAGAGACACAAGTGTTACTGCTTCCAGAAAAAATGTGAAGAAAAAACGTTGAAGATAAACCAGAGGTCAGCAAAATGACTACGGCTTCAGACAACTCGCTGTGATTTGATGAGTCAAAAACGGAGAACAAAGTTTGCTGAGGTGAAGGCTGCGTGAGTAATAATGGCTGCGGTTGCAGCTGTTTTAAAGGCCAAGCATCTGATGTAAGTGAAAAGGGGCCAAAAATTGTTTAATTTTAGTACCAGTAAATGCAATGACTTGGACAGAACAGCTGGCATCAAATAAAAACGTTTGTAAAACTTTGAAAGTTCACATGTGTGCAGCCCAAATAAAGAAAAGCTATACATTTTTCTGAAGCATTTCTCCAGTACTTTTAGTTCTCAGTGGAAGATGGAAAAGTAGTTTAACTTTAGATTTTACAACTCGCAAACTTTCCAATGGATAGTTTTAATAGATGCTAATAAAGAATAAAGTACAATGACCAGGTATACTCTCTCATTCTTACTTAGGTGTAGAGCTGCAACGACTCCTTGAATGATTTGATTATTAAAACTCCGAGCTTCATTACCATTTAATACGCCATGTTCCGGCCGGGTGATTATTTGCGTCACGCAACATTTTCACTTCTGTGTATGAGTTGCTAAGTGCTAGCAACATAACATATCCAACTTTCAAGTTCAGTCTGGAGAATCAGGGGGGAATCCATTGATTGATAATGTCTGGCTTTTATTGTTTTTTTCAATAGGCATCCTTAAAATGACTGGTGCGATGCCTTTCTCCTCCTTTCTTAGTGTGTGCATGCAGGTACAGTGGAGACTCACAGCAGGCTGCTGTAGCTGATTCTTAGCATAAATGTAGCTTTATGGACAAACAAGGAAAAGCATTTCCTACCGTCCTGGTCGCATCAAATGGATGGCAGAGCGCATTGTGGCGGTATATATGTTTATGTGTGTAACAAAGCCGCCAAATCTGGTCACACACACACATGGTCACAAAAGTTACAAATGGCTGGGAAAAGTGAGTTAATCTATTAAATTGACTGAGGATCAATACTTAAACTAAAAGCTTGAGTATAGACATTTTTTTTTAATAAGTGTCTCTGTGAGTCTGCTGCTTTATTATTAAGCTGAACATAATTTAGCATAATTTTGTCCAGGTTAGCTTAAAAAGTGAACTATTGTTGTGATTTAAATTTTTAAACTACAGAAAAGTAATTGTTAGGGATGCACACATATGTAAATTTGAGCTGATGTTGATATCCGATATTTATACTGTTAGGGCAGTATTTACCAATATTTAATTTTATCCATTTTTTTTTATTTGATTACTCAATTAATTGCCAGAGTAATGGGTAGAATGCTCAAAATCTAAAAACAAATATTTACAACATCCCTACTTAGATCTAATAATTAACTATTAAAAAAAGTAAAATTAATTTATTACATAGATGCATTATATTCATAGTAAGATATTTCAAGTATTTCATTTTGCTAATGCTGATCAATTTAGCATACGGCTAATTGAAATCCAGAATTCAGTTTCTCAGAAAACCTAGAATATTACGCAATATCAATTAAAGTGAACATAAGTAACAGAAATATAAAGCTGCGACCTGGAAAGTTTTGTTACTTTTATTCATCTGATGTCCTAATTTTCTATTTAGCATAATTTTGGGTTTTCATATAAACACATTTTAATTCTGCGGTATTTCAACATTTTTAAATGACTCTTCCTTGGTGACGACAGGATACAAAGCCTCCCACAGCATGATTCTCCCTCTCCCTTGTGTGTTAATAGACGTACCAAGAATATGAGTTCATAAGGCGAGCTCTTATCCTACAAACAGCATTATTTTCCATTGAACCTTATCTCAAGCTGTTGGTGGGAAATTGTGACTGTTTCGTGGTTTTCTGGAAACCTGAGTAAGAATTTCTATTGTTTAGAAAGCCTGCCTCGTGATGGGCTAATGAACATCCTGCCTCATACCTCAGTAAGGGTCCTTCTAAAGTCCAATGATTCAAATTATCCAGTCGAACTTAAAAACAGCAGCTTCAGCAGCAATCCAGGTTTTAGGCCCCATCATGTGTCTGAAGGAGCTTCTTTGAAAGCTCACATTTCTAAACGTCCTTAATTTGAACATCAGACTTGAAGTATCTTTTAATAACATTCACATCCTTTTTCTATCTTGTGAGTGATTAGTTTGCATGTTCAATGCAGACATGAAAAGAACCATTGTTTATGGATGAAGATTGAACCACATTGTGTGAGGAAGGAAAAAAGACATTCCAGTGGGTCCAAACGGTTAGCTTTGAATATCCCGCTGTAGTGAACTTGTGCTGGATACGATTCTTTGACATGAGACTTTAGACGGTTACGATTTTTATAAATAGGCTAAAAAAGTCTCTTTACATGATCATCTATCCTTAGTGGTTTATCATCACCCTAAAACGGTCCTGTTAAAACAAATGCATTTAGGACAGCGTCGCAGGTCAGCCTGGATTGGAGTTACCAGGTGATACTTAAATTGTTAGACGGGACAAAAGGTAAATTAAAATGAGGAAAATATGATGTCAAGTGTCAACAGAAAAAAGGAGAAATCACTTCCCCATAAAACAAACACTGTGTAATTATGTCCACATAATGCCTGAATGAGATGATGCAAGTGTCATAAAAACACCTGAATCCTTCATCCACACACTGCTGAATGGATGGCAGAGAACATTAATTCAGGTGGCTCTAAGGCAAACAATGGCATTGACATTGCTGCACAAACACTACAAAGCAAACATTACTCATTTCCTAAAACCCACATTCCTGCTTGTATTTAGAGGGAGAGACGTGACCAATGGAGCTTAAAACATCTGCAAATGTCCTACACTATAACGTCATTTCAGGGCATCGTTCATCCCCAAAAGACTTCGTTAGCCTCAGATGAAGATCGATCTGTCACCAGTGATTTTAATTGGCATGCATGAAAGAAAAATGTCAGCTTGTTCTAGCTGTAAGAAACATATTTGGTTTATACCGCAGCAAAGTCACAAGGATTCCAATAAGTCCAACACATGCAACAGGCAAAATGCGGATCATTCATTTCTTGACTTTCCAGAGATATTGTGTTCATCAGCAATCCCATTCAACCTCTACACGCTTACCTGCAGAAGGAAGATTAGGATATAAACACTTTTCTTTTTGTAATACAGTGGTGGAAAATGTCTCTGCATGTTAACAGAAGCTTCCATCTTTGAAATTGTATACAGCAGAAGAAAGAAATGAAGGTGAATTAAGAAGGCCAAGCAGCTCCACCCTGTACTGTGGCAAGCTTCGATAAGATCTCCAGCACTGCACACAAAGTGAGGAACAAAAGCTAAGTGGGTTGCTTTGTTAAAGAAAAAAGAAAAAGAAAAAAAAAGAAAAAAAAAAAGGACTTTGGTGGTGTCTGAAACAGCAATTCACAGATCTGAATCGCTGTCTAGGAATGTGCAGCACAGGCTAATGTAGTGTTACCTATGGGACTCAGTAACACCACCAGGTTTACTGGAACAGGAGTGACGTTCGCTCACAAGAATGTTACACAAGGTGGAGGTGCGAATAGGGCAAAGTGGCAGGCAACATGTGTACAATGGAAAAAAGAAAACACGCTGCATATTCTTTCAGCAAGGACACGTTTTATTTTGCTTTCTTAAGACGCATTGTCTGGCAAAGAATGCCACCAGAGATAAGGGTGTCAGTTTACGAAGGTGCCGAGTTACAAACACACATGCAAAGCATGTCAGCTCTGCAACTTTTTTTATTTTTAGAAATGCAGCTTAAAGACAGAGTGGGGGGGGGGGAATCTAGGTATTAAGTACAAATAAAAGAGGCGAGTTGCAATGTAACGGTGTCAGGTCATTTGAATGAGATAAGAGGTTTAATTTGTTACTGCAGAGTCGGTATCTTTAAAGGGCGTAAAACCGGGTTATGTGAGGACACTAAAACTCAACTTAAGTAAAACTCCTGTCTTAAGTTTTTGAATGTAACAATTTTAATTATTTCAATAAAGTGACAAACATTATTTGTATATAAAAGTAGAGTAATTTCAGTAACAAGATGCTGTTTTTTTAGCCCTAAAATAAAAATGTGGTGAAGAATTTACTGCATGCATAAAGTACAAAAAGATATCTCAAAATTTTTATCTGCTGTTGAAATTGGTTAATTTGGTGTTTAACACAATTTTAGCTTTTATATTTTTTTGTGCAGAAATTTTTATTATTTGGATTTATTTTCTTTTAAGCTTGATGGACTTGTGGTATCATGAAACTGCAGAGAAAAAGGAAAAGTATTTTTCAAGGAAAACCAGAAAAACCGGTGGGTCAGTTTATTTAAAATAAAAAAACATGCTTTCTAGGGATGGGGAATATTATATTATTGCTTGTTAGGTAAAATATATATATATATATATATATATACACACACATACACATTGTGAAAGGTTAGTGATTAGTGATAAGTTAGATTAAAGTCATTCTAAAGATTGCAGATATTTTTGCGGGGTTCCAATCTGACTTAAATATCTGAATTAAACATCTTCTCACAAAGTTGTTTTCCACACCAGACTACTTTTAAACATTTAGTGTTATTTTTAGTCATGTTATCTTGAAAGTTAATATTTAATGAGTTTTTTGTATTTTAACAGAAATACATGCAGTGAAGGCTCATTAGTATGTGAAGAAGGGAGAAGATATTTCTAGCTAAAGCTAAACTGAAAGCTGTGTCACCAACTAATCCATTAGAATTGAAAATAAACAGCAAACTTGGATCAAAACAAGTTTATCAAAATATCACAGTGAAATGTTGCTGAAATTACACACACAAAAAAAAACAATTAAGCAGGGAATACATGGGACTGAGCATTTGTGCTAGAGACTGAGGTTACTGTTGCTTCATAATGACTAGAACCACATCAAAATCATCCGGTTATGTCAATCTTTTATAGAGTTTTTCTCTTTTTTAATGTGCACTGTCCTCTCTTTTAATAATGGTAAGAAAAAAATCCTTAAAGGTTAATCTTACAACTGAAAACGTTTGAAGTGGAAAAAGGGTTGAAATATTGGTGTACACAAGTTACACAACACAAAATAATTATATTTTCACTGCAGCACCGAAACAGCACATTCACCTGTAAAAATGTATTCCCTTTTAACGTCTCAAACATGCAAGAGGACTCTGGTTTGCATTAGTGTAGTTTTCTTAAATTAGTCAAACAAATGTTTTTTTTTTTTTTGCTTTTCAAATGCAAATTCAAAACAACAAAGCATATCATCATCAGGAGGAAACATATGAACATCAATTGTTAACTAAAGGGAGAAACCCTTTAGTTATATCAGGTAGGCATGTGAGGTATTCACCTGTGCGTGTAGGTTCACTGCCCCAAACACACACACCCTGAGCTTTGAGCAGCATCACCACTCAGGCAATCATTAAGCCTCAGTACACAAGGACAAAGTCCTCCAGAAGAGCAGGACCATCACCAGCCCTGCTCTGTGACACCGACAGGAATGTCTGGGGGTTGTGCACAAATACAAGCGGGTTCGGGGATCATCTACGTTATAAAAGGTTTAAAAGCTTTTCTACTTTTTTTTTTTTTTTTTGCTGAGACTAAACCCGAGCTCAAGGTTGCATGGGCGTGTCCCAAAAAAAATAAAATAAAAAAAAATCCCTAACCTGGGATCACTTACTGAAAGCAGGCGTTGTGCCAGGTATCCTGAAGGACCTTCATCTGGAATGAGTCTTGAATTTTTCCTCCACAGCCCGCACAATAACAGTTACCTGCAAAAAAAGCAAGTGTTCAGTCAATGCTTGAGAAGTGAGAGAGAAAAACTGTCTAAAATTAGTAACAATAGAAGCCGAGTTCAATTCAATCAACCCCTGTCCACGCCACCGAAGCCTAAAAATAAAATAAATAAATAAAAAAAAAACGTAGAAAAGAGTATGAATTAAAAAGTGGCTCCTATTTGTAAAGCGCTACAAACGGTTAGCTCCAGTAATACAAAAACAGCCTCGCCTCATTATAGAATAACAACCTGAAAGCACTCCTTACTTTCTGGTTCCTCCATCGACTCTACCGAGAGCGTCGTCGAGATTTGTGCTCCTTCTACAAGCTTCTCATTCTGCAGCAGCGGAGCTGTCATGAGTCGCCTCTCGTTTACATCCCAGACCTCCACTCAGCTCTGAATACATCAGCAGGAAAATCACTAATTCCCCCCCTTTAAAGCTGCGCACAAATACAAAGACCAAATTCCTGGTGGACGGAGCTGCTTTTCTCGCTTGCTGGCAGGACAAGTGACGTAATGCGGTCGCCACATTCCTGTACGGAGAGCGGAAAGGCTCAGCTGCAGCACCTGGAGGCAGAAAAGGGCTCAAAACTGGAGACAAAATGTGAAAACGAGGGTCATCGACGCCATCTAAAGGCCATGTGACAGTAATGCCACACACTGAAGATATACAAGCAAACACCCACATGAAATATACCGAGTATTATGAATAATAGTTTTTTTCTTAGGGAGTAAATGTAGGGTAGAGTTCGACATTATTTGTCACAGTCTTTGAGTGTCTGCGTCTTGGGTTTTTGATTATGTTTGATCATTTCCTTGTGGAAAATGTGTCTTCTTTAATGTGTGAATGACTGAATGTGGTGTGAAGCGCTTTGGGGTCATCTGGACTTGATAAAACACTGGACAAGTACAGGCCATTTCCATATGTCTTGCCATATTCAAATCATTTCAGTTTGTTTATTTTTGTTGTTTGGGTGTTGCCATATTAGTTAATACATTTGGGTTTAGTTTATTAGTTTATTCTTGAGCTCTGTAAATGTATTTTTCTTAGATGAAGTGGTTTTTTCTTCTTTTGGTTAAAAGAGCCTCTGTTTTAATTAGTCTCTCCCTCGGTTTCCTTGCTGTTTACCCTTCCACTAGTATGCTACATTTCCACTGATTAGTTCAGAGGTTCCCAAACTGTGGGGCGCGCCCCCTAGGGGGGCGCCGTGTCATTGCAGGGGGGCGCGGGAAGCCGTCTGGATGAAAAAAAAAAAAACATGAACACTGTGCTGGGTTTTTACCTTAGAATGGCCAACTCTCTGTTATTCCTATGTTAATTTGATACAGTAGAGGCTTCCACACTTCCCATATGTGTGTCCTCTGTCACTTTTATCAGCAGAATATGTTTGGAAACCACTGGGGAGGCGCAGAAGAAAAAGTTTGGGAACCACTGGATTAGTTTATCTGGTCACTCTACCTCCCTGACTCTGTATTTAAATTCCTGATTTTTCACTGTTAGTTGCCGAATCATGATTTTTGTTCTTTTGCTGTCATTTTGCCCATGCATCAAATCCTATTCATGTTCTATATGTATTTTTTTTGTTTTTGTTAAAACACTTCAAAGTGCATCATTCAAGCAGCTATCTGCACCTTGTCTCTGACAACCATGACTTTATCAGCAGTACTATCGTCATCAGCTTTTAAGAAGCACGTGTAGACTATCTTTGGATTCTACTGTGTCATCTCACATATTATCTTAACTAGGTATTCAAAAGTGACAGAAGGTCTGAGTGTATGGGCAAAAATAGTTTTTGAATAAGGATAAGTCCTTATTCAAACTGTTAAGGGCGAAATTAAAAAACAGCGTCACCCTATGTGAAATGTTGAAGAACCACAGTTTTAAATTTCAATTTCTATAGCCACATTCAGGATGAAAATTCACTTTAAATAAAACCTTGTGGAAAAATTGAAGTCGGCTATATTATCAACACTAAATCATTCCCTTTCAAACGAAAACTCCTAATTTAACTGCTTTAGTCAGTACAGACAAAAATGTTGAACTATAGTTGTCAAAATCTGTGAAGCAAATGTTATTAATTTCCTTATGATTCTTTACTGAAAATGTCTCCAAACTGAACAGTTCTGAGGTGAATCTGAGTTTTTCTCTGATGATATTGTTTACAGTTTGGCACAGTTTTACCCACAAACTACAAATAAGTTTGTAGTTTGCGTGCACAACGCTATACATAAATTAGAACTGCAAAGAGCAGTAAAAATGTGACGCACATGTATTTATTGTCTTGTACTCGTTCATCTCACATTAATGTATAACTTCACTGTACTTTTCACCTGGTTGTGAAATAGTGTACAAGGCTGTCTGTGTAAATTCTGGGATGATCAATTCAGTCTGTGTATATGGGCATTAAGTGAAAGAGGGCCCTCTAAGTCAGTTTAATGACAAAGGAGTTGTTATTATATAGTATTAAAATGGTGGCATTTTCGTCAAAATACGTGAAAATCTCTATTTTAGTTTCTTAAAATCGCCTCCACAGTCACATAATCTGAAGGTTATAGAACCTATGTAACACCTGGTTGGGTCATGTAACACTGTAGAGCAGGCAGAGGCTTTTATTTTGAAAAGGGCGTGCCTTGCGCACCTCTCGTTGCAAACAGATTCGCTGATCGGTGAAGTCGGTTAGGTTAAGGCCGCCTGCGGTCGTTACATACAGTGGGCTGAGTGAATGGGGAAACATACTGTTGAGAAAAATTATTATTTTT